AAAAAATATGAAAAAGTATCCTTAAAAAACTATGTCAAAAATTATGTCTCTCGGAAATATATATAAAATAGCTGACTTATGTTAAATATTCTCTACTAAAGCGTTTATATGTTCTAAGAGCTTAAAATGCACATTCAGAAGTAATTTGGATGAAAAATCAAAATTGGAAACCCGTAGACCATTTTGAACATAAACCATTAAACCATAAACCATTTTGAACACGAAACATTCCAGGAGAATTGTGAAAATACTTGTAGTTTTAAAGCTCTGCCTGAGATTTCAGTATTAATATAATCTGATCAAGAATACAGTAATATACAAGGTGAGATGAAAAAACTGCAACCAACTTCGGACTGCTGTCCTTTCTAAGCCTCTCGTCCGACAGCTGTTACAATTATTCCAGTGACAGCTTATTATATTGTTTACTTTTCCAGAAAAAAATTATTCGTGGCAAAATTCAAGCGAGATTTCTTTATATAATGGCTGGAAAACTACAAGTGGCTATCCTTTGAGAACTCCAGCATTTAAATTTGAATAAATTTTTTGTGTCGCTTCGCTGGGAATGGTCGAAAATACCGCAGAGCAAATCCTGGCAGCGTGTGACGGTTTCATTGGCCGTTTGAAGGGCATAATTCGTGCCAAAGGTTACCAAATCGAACAAATCTAAACTTATTCTAAAATTTGATGCTATTTCCGACATTTTTTGCTTTTATTCAATAAAATTAAAAAAAATGTAAAAATGATGGCGTTTGACTTTGTTGCAGTTTTTTTACACCGAAATTCATTTTTAAAACATTTCGGGGAGGGACCAAATATCAAAACATTAACTTTTCCATGTGAAATATCCAGAAGATAAGAAAATGCAGGGGAAGAGCACCACCATTCGTACGCCGCTGCAAGAATATCGGATCTCTAACAAATATTCCGAGGAGTTATATGCACAAAGACAATGATTGTCATTTTACTTTGATATTGCCTACTTTTAGGCGCAAAATTATTGCGGTGTTATGAATGCTAAATAAAAGACAAGATATTCTTATACGCATTCTCCCACAAAAGCAAAAGGGGACAAGGAAAAACCTAAAATTTACACTTGACCTTACATACCGACGAACGGACAGACATCGCTAGATCGATTTGAAATCTCCCAAAACGCTATTTTTTCGAAACTAAGCTCCTGTTTTTCACATACCCTTGCGAAGGTAAATACGTTAGAAAAATACAATGATGTTTTCATTCGAATTCAATTTCCTATCGCCACACAAAAACTATTCATAAAAATTGAATAATCCCTAACATGAGAAATAAAATTACTTATTTTGATCTTATTCATTACAATGTTCTTTTTTTGTTATTCTTCTCATCTTTTCTACGAAAACAAATATAGAATATTTTTATGAAAACAAATATTTTTGAATGGGGATGAATGATTGCAATGAAATTAAAAGTAAAATAACAAAAAGCCAATACATTAAATAACGCAATGTTTCGTGTTTGCTATACGTTTTTCAATAAAAAAATAAAAATAAAAAAAAAACAAAAATATTTTGAGACAAGAAAATTTGAAAGAAACACATTTATATACACACACAGAGAAAATACAAGGGGAAACACATAAATTCAATGTTTGATATGAAATTAAATATTGTAATATTTTTTGAAAATACATATGATTGTAATAAAAGAAAAAAACAAATAAAATATAATAATTATTTGGGTTTCATTTGATATCATTTACAAAATTATATATATAATTTTTTTCTGTAATAAAACTAATATTATTTTATGCCAATTAATAGTTTTGGTTTTTATGATTTTTACAATGTTTTTTGTTTTATGTTCTTTTATTTTTTGTTATCGTTTATTTGTATTTGGAAATCCTCTTTTCTTTTCTAGAATTGCTTTTTGTTCGTCAGATGTGAGAGAGAGAGATTCATCATCTCTCCTACGCTCTTTGCACCGTAAGAGAAATTAACGGTCAATTTAAAGGGGATGTTGTGGTGGTATGGGAATAAAATTTTGAAAATACTTTTATTTTCCATTGAATTTTTTTTTATATTTTATTTTTGTGTTCCTGTAGCCGAAGGGGTTTGTATTTATGCTTTTGTTCAACAAATGAAAAATTCGAAATAAAAATGAAAACAGAGAAATAAGTATAAGAACCTTTTCTGTTTTGCCGGTTGTTTTTTTTTTTTTCTTTGTTCTGTTTGGTATTTATTTTTTTCTTTTTTTTTGGTAAAAATTAATATCTGAACCATTAAAACGAGAATAAAAAAAACTTATTTTTTTATGATTGATGCAGGTGATACACGCAATGAGGAAAATTTGTAATTAGAATTATTAAGTAAATTAAATAGATAATAAAATTAATAGTTTTTTAATAAGAATAATAAAAATTGTTGTTCTTGGAAAAAGTACACTTAAAAGAATAAATTTTATATTTATTAATAAAAAACAACATTAAAAAATAGATTGGTTGGATAATAGGGTCTTCTAGGAATGAAATTTACTTTTTCAGATTTAGAAAAGAACCATATGAGGTCTCTGGAAGGATTTTTCATTAAAAAAATTTTTGGAGGATATATTTTTTGGAGGGTGGAGAGCAGGATCCCTGAACAAAAAACAACCTTTTTAGAAAGAAAAGGACAGAAGATGTGTTTTCGGAGAGAAGAGAGAAGGGGATTTCTCTAGAGAGAAAAGTTTTTTTCTGAAGGTTTTCTGGGAAGAGAGGATGTCTTCTCTGGAGAGAAGATACCTTTTCTGAAAAGAGAAGGTCTGTGGAGGGATTTTTCATTGACAAAATATTCGGAGGGCAGAGGACAATATCCCTGGACAAAAAAGCCTTTTTAGGTGGAAAAGGACAGAAGAGAGAAGAGGATTAATCCGGAGGGAAAAGGTCTTCTCTGGAGGGAAGAGGTTTTCTGGGAAGAGAGGATGTTTTCTCTGGGGAGAAGATATCTTTTCTGAAAAGAGAAGGTCTGTGGAGGGATTTTTAATTGAAAAAATATTCGGAGGATATATTTTTGGAGGACAGAGGACAGAATCCCTGGACAAAAAAGCCCTTTTAGATAGAAAAGGACAGAAGAGGTGTTTTTCTGACAGAAGAGAGAAGAGGATTACTATGGAGGGAAAAGGTCTTCTCTGCACGGAAGAGGTTTTCTGGGAAGAGAGGATGTCTTCTCTGGAGAGAAGATATCTGTTCTGAAAAGTGAAGGTCTGTGGAGGGATTTTTAATTGAAAAAATATTCGGAGGATATATTTTTGGAGGGCAAAAGACAGAATCCCTTAAAAAAACCTTTTCGGACAGAAGAGAGAAGAGGATTTCTTTGGAGAGAAAATGTTTTCTCTGGAGGGAAGAGGTTTTCTGGGAAGAGAGGATGTCTTCTCTGGAGAGAAGATATCTTTTCTGAAGAGAGAAGGTCGTACTTGTGGACAAGAGGATTCCTCTAGATAGCAGAGAAAGAGGTCCTCAGTCGGCAGATTCCTCTGAAGCCAACATATGAAGTATTTTGAAGACGGAAATTTTTCTGTGGAAAGTAGAGGTCTTCTGCGGACTGAAGAGGTCTTGTGCGTACAGAAGAGGTCTTCTGTGAACAGAAGAATCCTTCTATAGACAAATGAATTCATCTGTGGACAAAAAAATCATCTGTGGTCAGAAGAAGTCTTCTGTGGACAGAAGGGGTTCTCTTTGGGGGCAGAAGAGGTCTCCTGTGGGCAGAAGAGGTCTTCAGTGGGCAGAAAAGGTCTTCTGTGGGCAGAAGAAATATCTGGGGATACTAGAGATCTTCTGAGACAGAAAAGGTCTTGTAGGAAGGAAACGTCTTTTGTGGAGAGCAGAGGTCTTCAGTGGAGAGAAGGGATCTTCTGTGGCCAAAAGAAGTTTTCTTCGGACATAAGAGATCTTCTGTGGTCAGAAGAAGTCTTCTGTGGGCAGAGATAAGAGATCTTCTGTGGACAGAAGTAGTCTTCTGTGGACGGGAGGTCTTCTATGAACATAAGATATTTTCTGTAGACAGAAGATATTTCCCCTAGACAGAAGATATTTTGAGATCTTCTGTGGTCAGAAGCAGTCTTCTGTGGTCAGAAGAAGTCTTCTGTGGACAGAAGCAGTCTTCTGTGGACAGAAGCAGTCTTCTGTGGCAGAAGCAGTCTTCTGTGGCAGAAGAAGTCTTCTCTGGACAGAAGCAGTCTTCTATGGATAGAATCCATCTTCTATTTGCAGAAGAGTTCCTTTGTGGTCGGAAGTTTTCTGTGGTCAGAAGAAGTTTTCTGTGAACAGGAGACGTTTTCTGTGGTCAGAAGAGGATATCTGTGTTATTTTATGGTCAGAAGAGGTCTTCTGTGATCAGAGGAAGTCTTCTGTGGCAGAAGAAGCCTCCTATAGATAAATGAATTCATCTGTGGACAAAAAGAATTCATCTGTGGTCAGAAGAAGTCTTTTTGTGGACGGAAAAAGTCGTCTGTGGCCAGAAGAAGTCTTCTGTGGACAGAAGAGTTCCTCTGTGGACAAATGAGTTTCTTTCTGAATAAAAAAACATCCGTTGAAAAGCAGAAATGGATAGAAGAGAAGTAGAGAACATCTGTGGAAGGTGTTTTATTGAAAGCAGAAAGTCGTTGTCCATTTGTGGAATGTCTGTGAAAGATATTCCATCTGAAGGGGATTTAGGAGCCCTTCTGCCTTTACGACTAATTCTCACTTTCCTTTCTGTGGAAGCTCTGCTATATGTAGAAGAACTTGATAATAAAAATGTCTATAGAGGATTTACTACAGGTAATACCCTTAGGATATTTCGTTATTTTTTTTATTAAAAAAATTATTTAGATTTCGAATCTCATCATCATTAGAAGACCCTTTCCAAAAAATAAGTAAATTATCAAGAAACAAATTATTAAAAGGAAAACAACTAAAGTGTGAAAGAAAAGAAAACCATTTTGTACGTTCATCTTCTTCGTCTTCGCCTTTCGTTGAAGATTTCAATACAAAACTGCAAAAAACTTACCTTTGGAAATTTTGTCTTTTTACATAATTCTCACGAACAAAATCAATAATTTGCTTTTGTGTACGACCGCTATAACTAAAAAATTTTACAAGCAAAAAAAAACAAAATAAAATTTTAATACATTTTTTTGGTAAACAAACAGATTACAGATGAAGGCATGTTCAAAGTTGATTGGTCGGAAAGTGGTTGGGGGTATAGGGGGTTGGCTTCAAACTGTACTTGGTGGTGGTGAAGGAAGAAGAAACTAAACTCTATCGCTATACTTACCGAAATGAACTGCCGCGTGACATGACACGGGCCTTGCGGCGGGGCGTACTTTGTACCACTGTGCAACGGAAGAAACCATGATTTTCGACGCATTTTTTCCAAAAGTTTTTGCACTGATTACGACCGGGGAAGAGGAATTCCACGGTGTTATTATAGTAACCCTATAGAGGAGAGAGAAGAGAGAGGACGGATGAGTCATTTCGATTTTCAAAATCAAGGCTTCGTTCTCTACTCACATAACCTTCGGGATGTAATTTAACTAGGAATCGTTTTCGCTTAAAGGATATCTTTCGTATCTTAGCCCATGAGAATGTATTGATGCGTGTTAGATTCTGGAAGACTGCTATACCCATGTGAGCTACAGATAGATTGAGTGGCATGTCGTCATGATCCTTGGCCGGATGCATTTTCATGCCGTATAATTCACAACGTCTGGCTGTTTCTAAGAGATTTAAATCGGCCTCTGCGGGAGATTGGCCACTGCAAAAAAAAAAAAAGAGAGAAGCATATTATTTTATAAATCGCATATTTGCAGGTTGTTTGAGCTGAACTTACACATGCTTTTTATGATTCTCCATGATTTTTATCTGTATCGCCTCATCCTGATTTGGCACAAATCGATACGACGACAAATATGTGTGATCGGGATAGTCTTCGGCCACATAATCGCCACAGGATGCTTGAACGATGTAACTGGCCATGAGGGCGGCGGTATTTTCATTGCACTGGAGGCTACCCGTGGCCAGGTCACGTTTTATTTGGAGGCAGAATAGGTATCTGCGAAAGGGGAGATAGAGAGGGAATTAAAAGGAAACAAGGAATATGAATAGAGTATTTGTTATCTGAAGACAGAAGAGGTCTCCTGAGGACAGAAAAGGTCTTCTGTGTACAGAAAAGATCTTCTGCAGACATAAGAAGTCTTCTGAAGGCAGAAGAGGTCTCCTGAGGTCAGAAAAGATCTTCTCACGACAAAAGAGATCTTCTTTGGCCTGATAAGGACTTCTGTGGACAGAAGGGGTCTTTTGTGGACAGAAGGGGTCTTTTGTGGACAGAAGAGGTCTTCAGCAGAAGTATTTTGAATGCAGAAAAGGTTTTCTGTGGATAGAAGAAGTATTCTGTGGAAAAAAAGAGGTCTTCTGTAGTTAGAGGAGGACTTCTTTGGACAGAAGTGGTCTTCTGGTGCCAGAAGAAGACCTCCGAACACAGAAGAGGTCTTCTAAAGACAGAAGAAATCTGAAAAAAGACAGAGGAAGTCCTCTGAAGACAGAAGAAGTCTTCTGACAACAGAAGAGGCTTTTTGAAGAAGAAGTCTTCTGTGGCCAGAAGAGGTGTTCTGTGGCCATAGGAGGTCCTTTTTGGCCAGAAGAGTGTCTTCTTGGGTCTTCTGTGGTTAGAAGAGGGTCTTCTCTGGACGGAAAGGGTTTTCTCTGGACGGAAGGGGACTTCTCTGGACTGAAGGGTTCTACCGTGGCCAGAAGAGTTCTTCTCTAGACGGAAGAAGAGTTCTTCTCTAGATGGAAGAAGAGTTCTTCTCTAGACGGAAGAAGAGTTCTTCTTTGTACGGAAGAGTTCTTCTGAAGAAGTCTTCTGAGGCCAGAAAAGGTCTTCTCTGGAGAGGCAACATTTTCTGCGGTCAGAAGAGGTCATTTCTGACCAGTAGAGGTTTTCTCTAGACAGAAGAGGTCTTCTATTGACAGAAGAAGTCGTCTGTGGTCAGAAGAATTCTTCTCTTGACAGAAGAGGTCCTATGTGGCGAGAAGAAGTCATTTCTCGACAGAAGAGGTCCTCTGGTGCTAGAAAAAATCTTCTGTGGCCAGAAAAAAAAGTCGGTTGAGGCCAGAAGAACTCTTCTATGGCCAGAAGAAGTTTTCTATGACTAGAAAAGGTCTTCTCTCGACAGAAGATGTCCTCTGGGGCCAGAGTAAATCTATTGTGGCCAGAAGAAGTTTTCTGTGGCCAAAAGAAGTCTTTTTTGCCAAAAGAAGACTTCTGTGGTAAGGAGAAGTCCTCAGTACCAGAAGATGACTTCAGTGACCAGAAAAGAACTCTTTTTTCCGGAAGACTTCTTCATCTACTAGAAGATCTGTCTGGAATTTTATGTCATTCACCTCGACAGAAGAGGTCTTCTGGTGCTAGAAAAAATCTTCTGTGGCCAGAAAAAGTCGGTTGAGGCCAGAAGAAGTCTTCTATGGCCAGAAGAAGTTTTCTATGACTAGAAAAGGTCTTCTCTCGACAGAAGAGGTCCTCTGGGGCCAAAAGAAGTATTTTGTGCCAAAAGAAGACTTCTGTGGCCAGGAGAAGTCCTCAGTACCAGAAGATGACTTCGGTGACCAGAAAATAACTCTTTTCTTTCAGAAGACTTCTTCATCTACTAGAAGATCTATCTGAAATTTTGTGTTACTCACCTTGTATACTCCTCCTCCAGCTGTGATGGATCTGGTGTGTAAAATTTCACACAAAATCTTAGCATAGGATCTACAAGCGAAAGGCCGACCTGGCGATTTAGGGATTTTTCCAGATCCAGCCAATATTTGGTTTGTGTGGCCTTTTCCTGATACTCCAGGCCGAAATAGTCGGATTCCAAGAGATTTAATTGGCGGCACACTTGTTCGAACAGGACACGGCCCAGTGCCTTGGCCTAAAATAAGAGGGAGAAGAGAGGAAGAAAATTAAATGCAAATCAATTATTGTTGTAAATTGTTCTACTGCGGTTTGACTTATGCCATGTTTACGTTAGAACTTTTTGTAGGGTTAACCTACTTTGAGAGGATTTATTTGAAGTAAAAGTAATGGATATGACAATTTAAATCCAAATCCAGTGGGTTAACCCTCATATATATAAACGTACTATTATATTTTAAATATTTTGTTAAATTGTTTGATTGTCATTGTTGTTGTTGTTTGTTGCTATTATTAAATTGTTCAACCGTCTGTAAAGCTTTAATTAAAAATCTCAACATGGAGTGGCAGCTGAGAGGGGAAGGGGAGGCAAGAGGGAAAACCATTGTGCATAACCAGCATGACGGTGATGATGATGATGCTAATGGCAATGATGCCACTGCTGCTGTTGCTGTTGTAAATTTGCATCATTCCAGGCATAGCTGTGGCACACTTCACTGCACAGCATTCCAAAGTATCAAATTGCCGCTGTTTTCGTTGTTTCTGTTGTCATCTCTTTAATTAATTTGTTCTCAATTGATGCCAATGTTATTATTATTAATCGAAATGAAACATTAAATAAATGTAGGCAACAACAAACATAACAACAACAACAAAGCGCGAGGAATGCATAAATTAAAAAGGGAGGCCATTACAAGATTCAATCAAAATAATGGGAGTCGTAACTCTTCTCATGGTGGTCGCTTCAAAGAGCCTAGGAATTAAATGTGACTAGTTGTCGGGTCTATTAAATCGTCAATAATGACCACCATCCGCATATGCTGTTGTTATCTTTTGAGGCAATAACAAATTTAGGCCAACAATTTGTTGTATGACAAATCGGATGACATCAAATACAACTATGTGTGCCTCCGGTGCCATCACCACCAATCACTGTACCAGCGAAATAATAACCTCTGAATACAGGGTACAAATGTTCAAGTGGAATTTAATCGATTTGTTGTCGATACGCTGTGACGTGCCATGCCGTGCATCATCTAAAGTTTGCCAGAGTCACGCCAATTAAGTTTTATTCGTTGCGACATTAGATGAGGAGCAGTGAATACCTACGTCAATGCAATTGCTGTTGCCACAAATAACTTTGGGACTAAATCAAATTTTTTTAAAAAAAAATGGGCCATGGAATGATATATTTTCAAGTGGATAGTATATGAGAGAAGTTTAAAGTTTTTAATTTCAAAATATTTTGAACATTTCTTTTTATTGAAAATATTTTTAAAATATTTCCAAAAAAAGGGTATTTGTTCCGGATATTTTATAAGATCGTATTCGTAGTTAAAAAGCAGTAAGTTCGGCTGGGCCGAACTTTGAATACCCTCCACCATTTAGAACGAATTTGGAAGTAAAATCCTTAAAAATATTTGTTAAAATTTTAAAAATACCGAATATAGCCGTTATATTGGTGTCTATACGACGCGGACCCACACAGGTATTATTTTTCGTAAGTCATTACCAAATTCAAATTCGGAACATGAAATAAACGGTGAATAATGTAGCTAAAATCATCAAAATATCGTATATAAGGAGGTACCGTTATATCGAAGCTGTGCGAAGACCTGGCCCAGCATAGACAATTTTCTGTCATAGGCTTACGAACTTCAAATACAACATTTCAAACAATTTCGGTGAGTATTGTACCTAAACTCGTCAAAATACCGAATATAGGGAGGTACTGGTATATGGGGCCTATACGAATCACCAAAATACCGAATATGAGGAGGTATCGTTATATGGGGGCTATACGAAGACGTGGGCCTGCACAGACAATTTTCTGTCTTAGGCTGTAGTATCCATTGCGAACTTCAAATATCAAATTTTAAACAATTCCGGTTAATAACGTCGCTAAAATCATCAAAATGCTGAATATCGGGAGGTACCGTTATATGGGGGCTATACGAAGACCTGGACCTGCACAGACAATCTGCTGTCCATTACGAACTTCAAATACCAAATTTGAAAAAATTCCGATGAATAATGTCGCTAAAATCAACAAGTACCGAATATCGGGAGGTACCGTTATATGGAGGCTATATGAAAACGTGGACCTACATGGCCCATTTACGAACTTAACCTGCCTACTGAAAAAATAAACACGTGTGCAAAATTTTAGCCTTCTATCCCAATTCGTTCGAAAGAAAGCGTGATTACAACAGACAGATGGGCATCGCTAAATCGACTTAGAATTTTACGCTGATCAAGAATATATATACTTTGTTGGGTCTGACATGAGTATTTCGAGGAGTTACAAACGGAATGAATGGAGGGTATAAAATCGTAGTTACATAGGGTCGATTATATCAACATCTATTCGTGGCCGAGGTTAGCTTTTTCCAAATTATCAGAGCATACTTTAAGCTGCTCCATGCTGTTATGTCTCCACCATTATTTTGGGGATAAACAAAAGTTGGCATTCCGTTTGTAATTCCTGGAAATACTCGCATTGAATCCTATAGTATATACAACTGTACCTCCAGATATTCAGTATTTTGGCGATTCAAATTTAATTCTAACCGAATTGTTTAAAATTTGCTTTGTAGACTTTGTAGGGGGTTCTACCCCCTTGTGGCAGAATATTGTACGTCAATGTTAAACGTCAAAGCCCTCATATAACGATGAAGAACACTTTATTGTATTTCGAAGACTTAATTGAAAAAAATCCAACTCACTGGAATATTAAATCCCGAAATTTCGTTTAAAGTGTTCTTACAAGTTTCTAAGTCATATGCCTGATACCCTCATATCATATGGCTACAAAGGGCATATAGCATTTGATACGGGCAAAACGTGTCCCATCGAAATAAGGGTTTTAGACCCTAGGTCTCTGTGGACCAAATCCGTTTCAGGAAATTTGGAGTCGATCTAACGATGTCCATCCGTCTGTCCGTCTGGCTGGCTGGTTGGTGCGCGCGATAACTCTCGAAGGGAGTATCCGATTTTGTCCAAACTTGGTACATTGTAATATTATTGCCAAACTTAGAATAAGTTCGGAGATGGACAATATCGGTCCACTCCTTCTGGTACCTCTCCCACAAAATGTCAACATTTTCAAAGAAAATAATTTGCGCACACATCGCATTATTTTTATTAATCCAAAGTCTGGTGTGAAGATGAAATATATCGGTCCACACCTTTCGGTACCTTCCTCACAAAGGGTCACAATTTTGAATAGTTATAACTCTTATTAAATGTGAAGTAAGAACCCGATTATCCCTAAATTACACACACCTAATATTTTTATTAATCCGAGGTCTGCTGTAAATATGGACAATGTCGGTCCACTCCATCAAGTACCAGCTCCACAAAGGGTCAAAATTTTGAAAAGTTATAACTTTTATAAAAGTTTATGTAAGATTCCCACTGTCTTCAAATTATACACATCACAATATGGAAGATATCGGTCCAACTCCTTCTGGGACCTTCCCCACAAAGGGGAAATTTTAGAATAAGTTTCGATTTGTTCGAATTTGTCACCTTTGACACGAATTATGGAATATTGCGATATGTTCAGCTCACGAGTCATTTTTCGGCCACTGCGATGCGGTTTTTGATGGAGTGGCTAGAAATGACAATAGTCTGAAGTTGGTTGCAGTTTTTATACCCTCCACCATAGTATGGAAGGTATATTAAGTTTGTCATTTCGTTTGTAACACCTCAAAATACACATTTTAGACCTCACAAAGTATATATTCTTGATCAGCATAAAATTCTATGTCGATTTAGCGATGTCCATTCGACTGTTCGTCTGTGGAAAACACTATGGCTTCCGAACGAAATGAAGCAGATTGATAAAATTTTCCTCAAATGTATATTATGTTCGCAGGACTTTTGGTATTGAAAATGGACCAAAACGTGGACCTAGTTTTGGTATAGCCCCCATATAACGGTACCTCAGGATATTTGGTATTTTGATGACTTTAGCGACATTATTCATCGGAATTGTTTTAAATTTGGCATTTGAAGTTCGTAATGGATACTACAGCATATGACAGCAGATTGTCTGTGCAGGTCCACGTCTTCGTATAGCCTCCATATAATGGCACCTCTCAATATTGGGTATTTTGACGATTTTAGCGTAATTATTCACCGGAATTGTTTCAAATTACGTATTTAGAGTTCGTAATAGGAACTACAGTCTGTGACAGAAAATTATCTATGCAGGTCCAGGTCTTCGTATAGGCCCCATACATCAGTACCTACCTATATTCCGTATTTTGACGAGTTTAGGTACAATACCCACCGAAATTGTTTCAGATGTCGTTTTCGAAGTTCGTAATGGATGCTACAGCCTGTGCTGGTCCAGGTCTTCGCACAGCTTCGATACAACGGTACCTCTCTATATACGATATTTTGATGATTTTATTTATTTTCGGAATTTGAATATGATATTGGCTTATCATATTGGCTTAACAAACAATGCCTATGTAGGTCCACGTCGTATAGACCCCAATATAACGGCTATATTGGGTATTTTTAAAATTTTACCAGAATTTTTTAAGGATTTTATTTTTGAAAATTTCCAAATTCGTTCCAAGGTTCGGCCGGGCCGAACTTATTACTTTTTACTCTTTTACTTGTTACTCGTTTAATCTCACCCTGTACTGCAGCTGCACTTGAAGATAGATTTGAAAACTTCGAAATATTGAATTGAGGCACAATTACCTTCTGGTAGTTTTCAAAAAAGCCCCTATATATATTTGGAAGTAAAAAAGCGGAATAAAATTATCTATGCAGAACCTGTTGCGTTGTGTCTTTTGAAAATGTTGCCAATGATTAATGGGATTTGTTTTTTTAAGTAAATATTGATATATGATTCGTTGGGGGGCTTTGTTTTTATCGATGTGCAATAGCTTATCAAGAAGCCTTACAAAAGATAACAAAATATGAACAATAATTATAACATGCCGCCTATCCAATAATTTCATAAAATTTTCCAAATGTCCGATAAATTGCGAATAAACA